CCTGGTACTCTGTTTTATATCTGATAACTCCCGGAACCATTCCTGTGTCCGAATATAGTCGTCCAATATATCAATCTTTATGTCTCGACTATTTCGAGACTCCTCGTTATGTCTGTGATCCCATCCGGAACTCCGAACAACCTTCGGTACATCAAAATATATAAACTCATAATGAAACTGTCATCGTAACGTTAAGCGTGCAGACCCTACGGGTTCGAGAACAATGTAGACATGACCGAGACACGTCTCCGGTCAATAACCAATAGCGGAACTTGGATGCTCATATTGGTTCCTACATATTATACGAAGATCTTTTATCGGTCAGACCGCATAACAACATACATTGTTCCCTTTGTCATCGCTATGTTACTTGTCCGAGATTTGATCATCGGTATCTCAATACCTAGTTCAATCTTGTTACCAGCAAGTCTCTTTACTCGTTCCGTAATACATCATCCCGCAACTAACTTATTAGTTGCAATGCTTGCAAGGCTTATGTGATGTGCATTACCGAGAGGGCCCAGAGATACCTCTCCGACAATCGGAGTGACAAATCCTAATCTCGAAATACACCAACCCAACAAGTACCTTCAGAGACACCTGTAGAGCACCTTTATAATCACCTAGTTACGTTGTGACGTTTGGTAGCACACAAAGTGTTCCTCCGGTAAACGGGAGTTGCATAATCTCATAGTCATAGGAACATGTATAAGTCATGAAGAAAGCAATAGCAACAAACTAAACGATCAAGTGCTAAGCTAACGAAATGGGTCAAGTCAATCACATCATTCTCCTAATGATGTGATCCCGTTAATCAAATGACAACTCATGTCTATGGTTAGGAAACATAACCATCTTTGATCAATGAGCTAGTCAAGTAGAGGCATACTAGTGCCACTATGTTTGTCTATGTATTCACACATGTATTATGTTTCCGGTTAATACAATTCTAGCATGAATAATAAACATTTATCATGATATAAGGAAATAAATAATAACTTTATTATTGCCTCTAGGGCATATTTCCTTCAACTACAACCAAGAAAAAGGGAAAACATAACCAAACATTGGAGACTACAAACAAGAAAAATGCAAAAGGGGGGAAAAGGTGACCTTTTCTGTTTCTGAATTTTAATATCACATATTATGAATAGTTAATATTGTTGTTTGCTGCCATACATGTATCAAATATATCCATATGTATTGCATGCACTATAATAATTTGACAACCATGTCTTTCTTTTTAGGGCCACAAGGAAGATGAAGCTTGCTAAAAAAGGATCAAAATAATCCGATGGTGCCATTTCACAGCCCTGCAATGGGCACTAGAAGCAAAAAAGCTTACCCAACTAGCCCTGTAATGGGCACAAGAAGCAAAAGAAGACTAAGCTTGTGAACTCCATCTAATTTCTTGCACTTAAAGTCACTTTTGTTGCTGCTCATGTCATGTTGTGTGGAGTTGGACTCATGTATGTGAATCTGGGTATGATGTGAGCCACTTTTGGGTTGCTAATGTGATGTATGTGGAGTTGGACTCATGCATGTGAACCTGGGTATGATGTGAGTCACTTTTGGGTTGCTAATTTCATGTGTGTGTGGACTTGAACTAACCTGGATATGTTGTAAATCATATATGTGTACTTGGATGTGAGTCTGCATGTTTATGCCTCATGCCATTGGCAAATTTGAAAGTTGTGTGTTGAAAAATGTATATGTGGATTGTGTCTACAGGAATGGCAAATTACAGGGGAGGTTCTGCCCAAAATTTGAATTGAATTTCGAAATAAAAAACTTTCCAAAATGGCATGTTTATAGGGGAGGTTCTGTCCAGTTTTGCACTTAACAGCAGGACCAAGTTATTGATATTGTTCTGAATTATTTTGGTCACAAGTTGCAATAGGGGTAAAGATCGTCTTTTCATGTGCCACTTAACACCATTAGTGCTCAAAATAGACAGAAGTGTCACAGAGGGAACAAAATTTAGCATTGTTGTTAGGTAAGGAAGAAAAAGTTTTCCGGTGTTAAATAGGGCAAAAAAATTAAGACAGTGTTAAATAAGGAATTCTCTCATCAAAGTGGGTGTAATCTGGTGGAGCATATGATCTGGTCGTATAAGATTTTTTTTTTCCAAAATATTTTGGGGCCTTCGTGCCCCTACCTGTGTTTATGACATAAATTAGTTTGCGGTACATGGAAGTGTGTAATGGATATGCAAATCTCAACAAGAGATTTTTGATTCATAATAGATGCTACTATATCTTCCTCTACATGGTGGTGTTTAAAGGATCTGCAAATGTCAACAAGGGATATTGGATTCATATTAAACGCAGCCAATCCCTCGTATACATGGAGGGTTGCAAGGTATACGCAAATCCCAACTAGGGATTTTGGATTCACAATAAATGCAGTCAAGCCCTTCTCTACGTGGATGTGGGCCTTTTAAGAACAAAAATATTTTCGTAGAATTGAACGAAATTACAACCAAGGGTTACATGGGTTGATCTACACCGTAATAACTTGGTCCCATCAGATGCACATCTTGTATTTTTTGATTAATATGGATATTAAATGGACAGATCTAAACCATAATAACTCGGGCCCACCAAATTAATGTCTCGTATTTTCTGATTAACATGAGAACTTCTAGAGTCTCTAATGTATAGATAGATAGATAGACCGATAGATGCATAGATATAAATAGATATATAGATAGATATAGATAGATTTATAGATGTATTGTTATAGATAGATAGATACATAGAAATGCAGCCAAATCCTTGTGTACATAGAAGTGGACAAGGGATATGCAAATCTCAACAAAGGATTCTTGGTTCATTATAAATGCAGCCAAGCCATACACAAAAGAGTGCTCACTATTGTGTGCACGAGCCAACAAGTTAACTCTCCAACAGCCACATCCATGGACCTCTCCAATCACGCTCTTCTCCTCCATCTGGTGCTTGCGGCGCTCCTCCATCCTGCCGTCGTCGTCGCTGTTGACGATGCGACATCAGGCCGCAGCAAGGGCTTTAGCCTGCGCCTGGTCCCTAGCCCCGGCTGGAACAGTACCATCCATGTCGACGACGACGGGTTCGTGCACCTGAACGAGCCAGTTGAGCACGCCCCCAACGTGCTTCGGCCGCACATGCCTCACAAAGAGAGGTACAACATCATCACCACCGTCGGGACGGGCCATGGCCGCCGAACGTACACCCTCGCGATGGAGATGACCCAGAGCCTGACGTGGATGCAGTGCGTGCCGATCCAAAACCCGTTTGAGCAGGTGCCGCCGCCCTTCGACCCGACGGCCTCGCCGTCATTCCACCCACTCGCGCCCACCAACCACCTTTGCTCGCCGCCGGGGGGCAGCGTGTGCAGGTTCAGGAGCAACCCCATGTTCCTCGGTGTCGCGAGTGCAAGCGGTGTGCTCGGCCATGAGACCATGTCCTTCGCGGCCTCGGGCCATGGCGCCGCGGCGGCGGTCGAACCCGCCGTCGTCATCGGCTGCGCGCACACCAGCGAGCGTTTCAGAAGCCACGGAGTGCTTGCCGGCATCCTCGCCCTGGGCAAGACGTACCCATCGCTCATCTGGTTACTGGGCCGTGGCGGCTTGCATCGCTTCTCGTACTGCCTCTTCTTCCCGTTCACGCAGGGGAGCCGGCACGGGTTCCTCCGGTTCGGCAGCGACATCCGGGTCGACACGAGGCACATGAAGAGCACCAGGCTGCTCTACCCCGAGGTGAGCGCCTACTACGTCAACCTCGCCGGCATCAGCTTTGGCAGGACGCGGCTGGGCGGCAACCTGGCGGAGGTGTTCAGGCGCCGAAAGCTCGCGGATGGCAGTTGGCACAGTGGTTGCGTGCTTGACGCCGGGATGTTCTGGGGGGGTACGTTCATGATCAGGCCTGCGTACGACATCCTGGAGCGCGCCCTGGCGGAGCACGGCAGGAGGCTCGGGGTGCCGCGCGTACCCCGCCACAACTTCGGTCTCTGCTTCCGCGCGACGCGCGCCATCTTGTCGCACTGGCCGACGGTGACGCTGCACTTCGAGTCCGAGCAGGACCTTGTGCTCACGCCGAACAAGCTGTTTGTCCTGCAGGATCAAGACATGTGCCTCACCGTGAAACCGCACCCGCAGATTACCGTCATCGGCCCAGCGACGCAAGTGGGCACGCGCTTCGTCTACGACCTCGCCGCCAGCAGGGTGTACTTCGCCCCTGAAAACTGCAATGCCGACACTGGCGTCTAGGATTGATCTTCTGTTCCTGTAGCGGTCAACCCAATTCGATGTGGTTAACCGTCTGTCTCTGAAATAAAAGGGAAATTAAACTATATTGAGAGTGCAATAACTAACAAACAAAAAGATCAAATATCTTTCTTATAGAAAAATGCCGACGGTGCTCGAGCTGCAGGGAGCTCGTTTTCAAAATACAAATTTCCGCAGCGTGAAATTTTTCGGTTTCTTGAACACACATACACATGTACACTAAGTATGTGCACAATTTCATAACGTTGTACTTTCATGCATGGAGTACAAAAAAGGGAGAATACGTATTTCCAAAAGGGCTGACCATTTTTGTTGGCCGGACGGAATTTTGTTTTCTTAATTACAGCCTACAAATCATAATATTTTCTGAAAAAGGGTTTTCCCGCTTTATAAATAAAGCAACTTCCACTAATCACACGATAACTGCTGGGGCGCACAGCACATCAAGCCCAAAAGAGAAAAAAGAAGAACAAAATGCCAACAACAGCAACTCGGCAAAGCACAGATGATCCGCCACCGCTACGCCCTCCTGATTCATCCCACCACACACCAAGGCTCCGAATCGCCGCGTAACCAAGCAGTACCTCCAAGAAGGGATGCGACGTCGATCGACGACGCTGCTGCCTGGACATGTCCTAGGGTTTCCCCCGGCACACGGAGAAGAGTGGAGGATGGCTAACACCTACGCCCATCAGGAAGGAAAGGTGACGCCCGCAGGCGACACCGCGTCGGCGCCGGAAGAACCGGCAGGGATTTCTCCCGCATACCAACCACCACTATACGTCCGATCCGGAGCCAACCAGCCAGCTAGCCACCAACCAGCATACGCCACCACGGTCTTGAGGTCATCCATGCCGTCTCATTGAGACCGCCATCACGAGGCCTAGAGGATGGAAAGAGGAGCGCCAGAAATCGGGAGGGGCAGCATCGGAGCCGCACCGGAGGGAACCACCTCCACTGCCATCGTGCGGAAGGCCTGTGCCTCCAGCACCGTCGCAGGTGCCGACCAGACGCGGCCGCAGCGGCACACCAGGCCACCCGGGGCCGGCCAGGCCCATCTCGGGCCCGCAAAGCCGCTGCCGCCCCGCTGCAGCAAGCCGGCGATGGCGCCGCCCCACCCAGCCTTCCTACGCCCGAACTTCACCTCCAGGGGGCTCCGCCGTCGATGAGAAGCCGCCGGTCCGCCGCGCATCCAACCTCCCACGCCTGCGCCGGGTTGCCCCGCCGCTGCCTGAGCACACCACCAGGAAGCGCGCCGCCCCGCGCAGGTCGCCTCCGGGAGGGGAAAAGAAGGGACCTCCGCCACCGGCGCCGCCCGGGGCAAGCCCGGCCCCGCACGCCGGCGACGGCAGGGGAGAGGTGGCGAGGGAGGGCCTCTGGAGAAGGGGACGGAGGCGCGGTCAGCCGCCCGCGGGGAGGCGGCGCGGTCGCGAGGGAGGGGGGGCATATAACTTCACGGCAGTGACTCTTCGTGTGTCTCTCTGCCTTCACAAATCATAATATTTTGAAATGAGTTTTCACACATTCATGCAGAATACATATAAATTTCCATGGATTGTTTTTTATTTTTATTTTTTGATACTTTAAAATGGGTTTTGTGATTTTTTTTCTTTTCAAAATAGCTGCCTCCCTGATGCTTGAGCACCGAAAGACCGCACTGAAGACTTGTCATGCTTTGCATTTGCGTGTTAATCCCTTCTTACTTAGCATCACCGAAAGACCGCACTGAAGACTTGTCATGCTTTGCACTTGCGTGTTAATCCCTTCTTACTTAATGTCTCTCACAAAATTCCCAAAATGGGCATAAACTCCATCACTTCTCAAATAAGACTTTTTTTGTAACTTGGGAGATGTTCGTAAATACCACTTGGTCAATTGGGGTTTGTCTTAGCAATCTTTTGGAGGAATGGGTCTTACCAATGTTGGGGATTTCAATATGCACTCCTGGCCTCTTAGGGTAAAACATAGCGCGCGCCTATAGTTCAGGCGGCTGAGAAATACAGTCACCTTATATTTGTTGTTCCACCATCCCACCTGTGCCCCTCACCCTTGTCCCCTGTGTTGTTTATTTTTCTTCTCCTCTTGGACTAGCCTTTCATTTGTTTGCCATTGACTCCTACCTTTCTCCTCTGTTTTTTTTCTATTGGGCATCCTATTCGTCTACGACCTCACTGCCAGCAGGGTCTACTTCACCCCCGAGAACTGCAATGCCGACACCGGCGGCCAGACTTGATTCCTTCGTTTTTGTAATGGCTAACCCAATTTGCTGTCATCCGTTTTGGAGAGTGCAATAAATAAACAAAAAAGATCAATGCCAAATATCTTGGATTGTGATGTCGTCCCAAGGCATCTGAGCTGCCATTTCCGGCCCGAAGCTCAATCGGTCCATTTTGGTTTTGGACCGGTCTAGCTCGGTTGGACTGACTTTTGGCCCAAGACCAATACGAAGTCGCTAGGGGAGAGGAGAGGACTTAGACGCAGAGTCTCTCTCTTCCCATCACCCTGAGCCGCCACCCGCTCAAGCTGCATGAGGGCACGACTAGCGCCGCCTCCGTCGGCCACCGTAGACCACCTCCGTCAACCATCGCCCGTCTCCAAGCGTCACCATGGAGCACCTCCTCGGCTCGTTACCGTCGACCATGAAGCTGCAGGAAGCATGGGACGAAGCCGGCCCCGATGCATGTGCACGTCGTCGTCGTCTCCCATGGTTCCTCGTTGAGCGACATGAGGAGGTAGCTAGATCGTCTCCTCCGTCATCGTTCCTCCATCCCTTCCCACGCACGGGCATGGGCACAACCAGCACCACGCAGCGCACGGCACGGTCAAGGCGAAAGTCAGCAGTCCAGTGTAGGCGAACGTGCTAACTTTTAGACAAAATTTCTTTTTAAAAAATGGGCTTATTGGCCCTGGGCTCCAAATCGCCTCACTCATTCAACCAACCATCTATTAGTTCATAATATCATAGCATGATGCAATTAGTGAGAGAATGAACATACGCTTTTGGTGCATCAGAATAATTTCATGAGAATTGAGGCGAAGGCATTAATTTAAGATATGACCTGTGGTGAAGGCATTAATCTGAGATATGACCTGAACAATGCTAAGAGCCCTTTTTGAATACAGATGATATATATCATGTAGCTCCAACATTAGGTGAGAAAGCAACAAAAACAAAACCAGGAACATAGACTGGGTTATGGGCTATGCCAGGAACAGATATGTTCACATTTGAGAATGCTATGGAAACAAAAAGGGAAATCTGATGGAGGGGAACGAAACCAAAAACGGCAGAAACTATAGACATCCATTGCCTGGACCCCAGAAAATCCACACCTTCGATCTCTGTAGTTCTTTCTCTCTTCTTTTTAAACGCGCGATAATATTTCGTACGGACCACATTTTCACCGTTTGAGACGATGAAGGCACCCTCAATCCGTCCCGGTCAAAGGAAGTAAAAGGACACTCTCTCCATGGCCATGCAACCGAACAAAGCAAGAGACTACTCTCCTTTGTAACTCAGATGATATCTTTGTGCTCGAACATTTGCTGAGAAAACAACAAGACGGCCCCTGGTTTTGCTCTCCTCTCATGGAAGAGGAACCATGGGCCGATGGCACAAGCAGACACAAACATTGACATCGCCAAAACAAATGCAGTAGCTGCAGAAATTATGGAGTAAGAAAGTCTTTGACCTCTGGAGCGCAAGACTTCAACTCCTTCCACCCACCCCTCCTCCCCTCCTACAAATAGACCCCCGCATCTTCCAGCCCATCTCACCACTGCAGTCCTGCTCTCCTCTGAAATCTGCAGTTCTGTTCTGCCTACAGCGAGGAAGCCTCACCGTTGTTTCTTAATAGAGGTGGGAAAGGAGGGACCTATCCAATAGAGGTTTTCGGGTTATGTTCTTACATTGCCGCCTCCCCGTTGTTTCTTAATCACTCTTTTCTTGATGGTGTTTTCTTTGACAGGTGGGAAGAAGTTGGGAAAACATGGCCGCGATGGGTGGGAACCAGAGGCAGATGATGGAGGATGCGGCGGAGGACAAGTTCCCAGAGGGGTTGCGCGTGCTCGCGGTGGACAACGACCGTGTCTGCCTCAAGGTACTAGAGGTCCTCTTGCGCCACTGCAAGTACCAGCGTGAGTCTCTTGATCTCTCCACTTCGTCATGGTCCATTAGATCAGAATCGGAGCCTTTTTGTTTCTCTGAATAATGCTCGCTGCTATGCAGCAACGATGGTGATGGATGCCAAGACGGCGCTGAAGATGCTCAGGGCGGGGAAGGAGCAATTCGACCTGGTCCTCACCGATGTGCGCATGCCGGACATGGACGGCTTCAAGCTCCTCGAGCTCATCGGCCTCGAGATGGATCTTCCCGTCATCAGTACACTCACTACTCAACCCGAAGTCCTAATTCTATTTTTGCATGTACAATTGTTTTTAAGGAGTACTTTTACTGCTGAATCTTCAAGATACACTGAAAGGATATTTATTCCTTTAATTCGGCAGCATGTGAGATCCTATATTTTTAGGATGATTTTATGAAATCACATACAGACGCACAGCATGCGCACACTATTTTGAACTTGGGCTTTGAGAAAATCTAAAGAGTAGGGTCCCCAGCCTATACCAGCGGAATCCCATCTAACCGTTCATCCGCTCGATCGGATGGCCAGTGGGGTAGCAGAGGGGAGGTGGACCGACACATGAGTTAGGAGGGGGGGCGTGGGATCCAGATCTCATCTAACCGTTCATCCTTTTGATTGGATGGCCAGCGGGGTGGGTAGCAGAACTGAGGTGGATCGACACATGATAGGAGGGGGAGCGCAGGATCCATATATACATAGTGGTGTCGGTTCCTCGCCCGAACTAATGGGATCCTATCTAACCATACATCCATCAGATCGAATGGCTAGTGGGGGAGGGGAATGGACGTGGATAGGTTAGCACATGAGTTATGAGATTCCATTAATTATTGATTTCAATAATTGTGTTGATTGTGTTTAGTATGCTAGAGACATGGTCATGTATTCCAAATAATCAAGCAACAAGATGTGTTTTTTCTATAGGAACTGCTTCTATTTTCGATCAATTTATCAGCCAATTGCATTCAAAGATGTCATCTGCATTCTATATACAATTGTTTTTACAAATTTAATAATTAATGCGGAAGTCTAGAGTTCAGTATCATGCGTACGATATATATGGGTAATCAAGCTTAGTAAGAGTAATTATCACTTCAATGTAATGTAGACCCCACTATGTACTTGTTTGATGGGTGCATTTATGGACATAATTTAATTTTGTATCCTGAAAATTGTAAAATCCTAGTCATAAGAATTAAATCTATAATATATTCTTTTTTCGTGATATGACCAAATTATATTTAATTATTTTCTAAACTATCTTAAATTTCTAGTCCTTCCAATTACAGAAATTATACAATTGCACCATACCTGTTTTCTATGGTGGCATGAGTAATGCAATTCTGTACTGAGATTATTCAAGGATTATTCATCTTTAATCTCCTTGAGTTTGTTAGTAGTTAAAACTATCTACTCTTAAGAATAGCATATAAATTAGGAGGGCCACTTCTAAGAAGATACATTGAGTAGGTCACTCATGTATCATATAGAAATCATGCAGATTAGTTGAGCTAAACTAGAAAACTATTACGTGTCATGTTATTTTTGACAGAAAGTGCTTACCACAAATATTTATTTTCCTAAATTGTAATAAAATCCCCATAGATAATACTGCTTACCATATAAAAACTAATATGTGTGACCGCTTACCATGCTCAAAACATTGCTTGGGTCGACAACTGTTATCTAGTACGCTAGAGAAACATGGTCAACAATAGTAATTGATCTTGTGGTTCACCAATAGTTTTATGTGATGATCTGATTTACCTAGTTGGAACATGTTGTGATGATGGTTTAGGCATTGTGTTACGCTTATTTTTTTAAGCCATTATATTGAGTGTATGAATGTTTTCCCATTTAGTTTGCATTGAAACATCAGATTTATGGTAGTCGTGATATCATTTGAAAATCATGTGTAACATATTTGCTTCCCCACTTGCACGACACATTGGAAAACATCGAACTTAATTTTCTGTCTATAAGCACTTAGACAAAATTTATGTTCAGTTAATAGATTTTTGTGAACGTTTGAATTCCAAAGCTAAGCCGTTGGTCGTATGGCATGCAGTGCTATCAGTGGATTGCGACAAGAAGGCCGTGATGAAGGGGATAAATCATGGGGCGTGTGACTATTTGATGAAGCCAGTGCATACCAACGAGCTCAAAAATATATGGCAGCATGTTGAAAGTAGGAGAAGATCCCAAGCAATAAGCCACATGGGTAGAGATAATGATGACGACCAGAGAGTACATCCTGGGACGCTTGCCAAGAATAAGGACTCCAAGCGTAAGAGCAATGAAAAAGATAGTTCTAACGAGAACAAAGAGAGCACTCATGCATCCACTACCCACAAGAATACAAGGGTGAAATGGACAACTGACCTTCATAACAAGTTTCTAGAAGCTATCAACCAGATCGGCCTTGATAGTAAGACACCATATTTTGTGCTTCATTCATTAACACAACACTTGTGGTTATTTGGTATTTATCATTAACAAATATTTTGATGACATTTTTGTAGAGGTTGCTCCAAACAAGATATTGGAGCTGATGAATGTGGATTGCCTCACTAGACATAATATTGCGAGTCATCTACAGGTTTATTTTTTATCCTCATGCCTAATTTCGATGTTTGCGTTACTATTATTCATAGTCTAACATTTTTTCATATATCAGTGCAAGCTTTTATTTTGTAAGAACATAACAATCAAAGCTTTAGTAATGCACGGATCACGAACATGTGTGTGATTGTAATTCCTCTTGTCCCTGGATATGTAAGGCATGTCTTGTACAATGCATTACACGCACATTCTATTAGAAGCTGTGCAGCACTTTTAGTTCTTTTTGTTCCCACATGTCCACCATTACTTTTTTCCCATGAGCATGCATCTCATACATGGTTATTTTGTCTATATTTTTATTTCAGAAGTATAGGTTGTACTTGAATAGAGTCAAACCAAATTCACTCGGTGATGCAAGTGAAAGACAGAACTCATCCATGGACAATCAGAGGAATTTTATGCATAACCATGAGCATGAAAGATGGCATGTGTCCTCATGTGGCATCCCCTCCTGGAGTCCAAACTATTTTGGTGCAACTAGTCAATTAGGCCAGCTGACGGATAGCCAGAGCAGCTTGTGCATGGGGTCATTAATCCATGGTGGTAGAATGTCGAGGTATTTGGTTCCACACACACCGGATGTGAGAAGATTTGCTGGTTCCGAAGACCCTCCCATCAGCCTAGACAATGGCATACTCGATGACATAATGTTAGATGAATTTTCCACATATAGCTCTGGTACTTCCTATGTTGACTCCATGCGTGGCAAGCTGATGGAGACAAGTAAAGGCAAAAGCCCATCAAATCTTCGAAGTTACTTCACAAACACACCAAGTGGTCGCGGGAGCTCGGCACCCACAAATGAGTACCAGGTGCAACCTCTCGAGTCTATTAACCATTATCATACCCACATGAATGCACTTTATACACATATGCTCGGTGTAGTTGGTAGTTGTTCCAATTTTCCAGGTTTTGCTGGGAACTATAACAACCCCCGACGGTCTTCAATGCAGGTAAACTTGACCGGTATTCTTCATAGGGGTGGAACATCTCATGTCCCACCACACGTGAACATACCAAGGATCAACCAACTGACGAACTATGAGACGTCATCTAGCGGATTGTTGCTGCAAAATCAATTGCCACCGTTCATTGGCAACACCACGTCAGTGACGGGTTTCAATGAACAAATAGTTCCATTCAACATACCTACCAACCCAAGCTCCGTAGGGATGTTGAATGCACACAATAGTACTCCAATAGCACCATCTCAGATGTTTAGTGGAGGTAGAATTACTACATTACGGGAAGGCTTCAATGAGAAAATATCACCATTCAACATAGCAAGCAACACAAGCTCAGTAGGGACGATGTTGAATGGCAATTATGCACTTGGTATTGGTAGCACTTCAAAAACCGAGACTAATATGGTGAACTCTGGAAGAACTATTTCTACAGGTTCCAACCTTCAGACAGATAGTTTCGTCACATTAACTCCAATGCCTGGTGGTGGGGATGCAGCTGGCATTCTCCCTGTGCAAGAAAGTATGGTTAATCAACAAGAGCCTAGTGATCTACTGAATGGCATTAATGCCTTCCCATCGGATGATATTACCAACCTTCTAAATAACGTAAGAACATTTCTTATTAACATGTATCAAATCTTTGCATATGAATTGTTGAGCTAGACAGGTGTATTCAAATCAATTTTCTTCTCATTGTAGGATTTCATTGGAGAGGATGCTGTCATGGATGGATAGTTTTGCCGGTTAGCACGACCTACTGGCGAGATGTTTTTGCATGTGTGTTGGAAAGTTGTTGATTGATTATTCCTTCAATCTTGCACACTGTACCATGAAATTATCTTAATTATTGTTGTCTAGTTAGAAGCACGATTGTGCCGATGCTTCTGTCACCTTTAGCTTTTAAGTATGTGTTGTATTTTGGGATAAAATAATGTTTTGTTATGCGAGATGCTTCATAGTTTTCTTCTATATGATATCAATGCGATGTTGCATCTTTCTCCGAGAAAACATTTAGCATCCCGAGAGAGGCACTATACAGATCTAGCTCCTCCTATAGTGCATGCATAGTATCGTTCCCAACACACCCGCCACAGACATCGTGCACATGACATGCACTTTATGAAGGTAGAACGGTAGTATGACAACACAATTTCATAAAAGATCTGCAACACGGCCATGGTAAGTGTCTGCGGTAGGTCCGAGGAGATTCCCACCGCCGAGTTCCACATCTACCAGTCGCCATCCTCTCTCCAGGGCTAGCCCAACGACCACAATACAGAGGCCACCCTCTGCCACCTTAGCCTCCTCGACTTCACGTGGCTCCAACTCTCGGATTGTATCCCCCAACACGACCACGTCTTCCACCTCATCATCTCCTACCACCTGCAGAGGCGATGGAGCTACTAGTCCTGCGCCTACATCTGGGGGACCCACGTCAATATCGACCGCAAGTCCTTCCTCAACGCAACAGACATTGAACTCCAACCCATGACAGAGCACAAGGAGCTCCCTCCCAACTTGAACCCGGCCACGGGTACCTACACCGTCTTGCAATTCATAATAATGTGTATCCACCCTGAGTTTCATGTCAAAGACATGTTGCCGTCAAATGTGTCGGACGCGATTGAGAAAGCAAAGGTGGGGTTAGCGCATAAGTTTAGCTGGGCGCAGCTGATCTGGGACCTAGTCCGGAATGAGATTCTCGAATTGTCGACCAGGGATCACTACACCATGCACCAGAATTCTCTACCGGTGTGTGTTGGAAAAAGTCAATTATACTGACACACGGTCGGTTGGGAAAACTTGCATCGGTCAGTTGGTCGGAAATACATACTAGTGGCGTCCAATAGTCTCTTGGCTTTTCCCATCTGGACTTTCCCCAACGGACACTTTCGGTCGGCAATAGTCTTTATCGACCAATAATTTGTTGGTGGAGGCCGTTTTCCCGACCAACCTAGCTATCAGGGACGTAGTGCTGTGGTGCAGTGGTAGTGGATGATAAAAATTCATACTTCATGGTGCATCTTCTCAGACTCATTTGGGTAAAGGATCAGGATGTGTTCGGGATGATGGACAGGATGGTGGACATGATTAAAAACTCATTCAGGAGGAATTTCAGACGCGGCCACAGGTGTCCAAACTAGTGGGGCCTGGGGATGAAACGTCTACAATTGTTCAGGTTCAACAGCAAAACCCTCTAAAAATAGCAAGCCATGGTGGTACAACTGCTGACGATGTTCAACCACAGGCTTGCGGCAGCAAAACTTTCGATCTAGCTTAACCCTGAAGGGTTTCAGAATATTTGGGGATTTATAGTGCAAAGAGGGAGTGCGAGGAGGCCACCGAGGTGGGCACAACCCACCTAGGCGCGCCAGGGGGCCCTGGCGCCCCTGGTGGGTTGTGCCCCCCTCGAGGCACCCCCTAGGTGCTGCTCTGGCCGAATGGATGTCTTCTGGCCCATAAAAAATCTCCGTGGAGTTTCACGGTGTTTGGACTCTGTTTGATATTGATTTCCTGCGATGTAAAAAACAAGCAAAAAATAGCAACTGGCACTGGGCACTGAGTCAATAGGTTAGTCCCAAAAATGATAAAATAACAGCATGAATAATTCATAAATTATAGATACGTTGGAGACGTATCAGCATCCCCAAGCTTAATTCCTACTCATCCTCGAGTAGGTAAATAATAAAAGAAATAATTTATGAAGTGTGAATGCTAGCAAAGTGCATAACTTTGATCAATGATAATTTCAATCACTTTTCCTAGCATCATAACAGCAATACTTTCTTATAAAACTTCTCATGTTATAGTAGCAACCAATTCACATGTTAAGGTTCAAACAATGAATTCTCTTCAAACTCAACAACCTATGTTCTAAGTCACCAAGCAATTACAATTCAACTTATTCAACGGAGTTTAAGTAAGAGCTCCACATACTCAACCATCTTGTAGTCTTCTATGATTGCTAACACTCACCACGTACACATGAGCAAAACGTTTCAACCGGACACATAGAAAGATAGGGGCTTATTGTTTTGCCTCCCAACGTATTCACCTCAAGGGTGATGTCAACAATAATAGCTCATGCTACAAATATTCAACTGGACATATGTGCCTAGATCTTTCCTCACCACATGATGCTTGCCAAAAGAGAAAAAATAAAAAGGAATAGAGAGAAATACTTTGACTCTTTGCATGAAAGTAAATACATAAAAGTGAAAGATAGGCCCTTCGCAGAGGGAAGCAGAGGTTGCCATGCGCTTATTTGTTTGTATGCTCAATCCCTTGGTGCAAAAGAACATCACATTGCCCCTTATGATAGCAACCTTTATTATGCAGTCTGTCACTTTTATTGCTTTGCCATCATAAGTTCGTATAACGCTTAATTTTCTCTTACACTAAATGATCTAACACTTTTAGAAGCAATTTTTATTGCCTTATTGCACCGATGACAACTTACTTGAAGGATCTTGCTCAATCCTTAGTTAGGTATGGTGGCCTCTTGGAAATAAGATTTGGGTTTAAGGGTTTTTGGATGCACAAGTAGTATCTCTACTTGGTGCGAAATTTTTGGCTAGCAAAGATGGAGGGCAAGCACCACATGTTGAAGGATCTATGACAATATAACTTCTATGTGAATATGAACAAACATAAATTATTACGTTGTCTTCCTTGTCCAACGTCAACAGTTCTGGCATATAATATTTTGATGGGGGCTCACAATCACAAAAGATTTCCAAGATAGTGTATTTGCATGTGAAAGTTCTCTTCCTTATACTTTTTATTTGTGAATTTCTTATATGAACAATATTGTGATTGTCAAGCCTCAAAAGATTTCACTTTCTAAACCCAATGTGAAGCTACCACTAGGCATGATATGATTTCAACTTCATGACATTCAATTTATTCAACAATTTACTCATAGGATATAAGTTAAGCACAAGAGTGAATGACATAGAAAAGAGCTTCGTTGACGGGATGTGAATGCCGCTTACTTAGCCTCCCTGGCAATTATTTGAGGACTCTATTTTAATAAAAAAAACTTTCAGATCTAAGTATTTTATTAATACAGCAAGCAAAATGAAAATAAATGACATTCTAAGAATAGCACAACTCATGTGAAGAAGCAAAAACTTAGGCTCAACCGATATCAACCGATAATTGTTGAAGAAGAAAGGTGGGATGCCTACGGGGGCATACCCAATCTTAGATGCTTGAGACTTCTTGAATATTATCCTGGGATGCCTTGGGCACCCCCAAGCTTGAGCTTTTGTGTCTCCTTAATTCTTCTCATACCACGGTTTTCCTAAATCTCAAAAGCTTCATCCACACAAAACTCAACAAGAACTCGTGAGATAAGTTAGTACAAACCAATGCAAAAACCTTATCATTATCTACTGTAGCAAATCACTAAAATTATTGTTCAACATTGCATACTAAATGCCTATGCATATTTAATACTCCTATCCTCAAATAGAATCATTAAACAAGCAAACATATGCAAACGATGCAAACATAACAGCAATCTGCCAAAACAGTACAGTCTGTAAAGAATGCAAGCGTATCAATACTTCCCTAACTCCAAACAATATTAAATTCTACCACACTGTAGAAAATTTATCAGAGCTTATTATGCAAAAAGTTTCAACATTTTATCACATTCTGACTTTTTTAGAGAATTTTTGCAACAGCGGTAAACTTTCTGTTTTCAAACAGCAACATGTATACTTGCAAAATAAGCATGGCAAAGGCTATCAATGCCACTTTTATCGAAATAAAAGATGCAGAACATTATTCTAAATAACAGCAAGCAAGTCCTACAAAATAAATTGACGCTCCAAGCAAAAACATATCATGTGACGAATGAAAACATAGCTCCAAGTGAGGTTACCGATAATGTTGGAGACGAAAGAGGGGATGCCTTCCGGGGCATCCCCAAGCTTAGTTGCTTGGATCTTCCTTGGATATTACCTTGGGGTGCCTTGGACATCCCCAATCTTAGGGTATCATCACTCCTTATTCTCCTCATATCGATATCTCACCCAAAACTTGAAAACTTCAATCACACAAAACTTAACGGAACTTCGTGAGATAGGTTAGTATGACAAAGAGCAAACCCTTCCACTTTTGGTACTGTCAAAGACAAGATTCATAATTGTTATCACACGATTCTTACTGTGGCATATCATTTCTACAATTTACGTTGAGCAATATAAGCCATAGAAACTAGAAAACAAGGAAGCTATGCATTGAAAATAGAATCTATCAAAAACAGAACAGTTTGTAGTAATCTGTACTCAAACCATACTTCTTCTACTCCAAAAATTATTAAAAAAAATTATGACCACGTGAGCAATTTGTATATTAAAATTCTGCAAAAAGAATCAACTCAATAGCACTCTTCTGTTAAAAATTAGACTTATTTTCGTGAGCACAAAAGTTTCTATTTTTCAGCAAGATCAAAGCAACTATCACCCAACATGATCCCAAAGGATTTACTTGGCACTTTATTGAAACAAAAGTAATAAAACATGATTACTACAGTAGCTTAATAATGTGAACACACAAAAACAGTAGGTAAAAGTGTTGGGTTGTCTCCCAACAAGGGTTTTTCTTTAATGCCTTTTAAGCTAGGCACGATGATTTCCAATGACGCTAACATAAAAGATAAGAATTGAAACATAAAGAGAGTATCATGAAGCACAAGTTCCTCTCTCATAATAATTTTCAGTAGC